GGGGAGGATGAGAGAATAGATACAGGAAGACACAGAGAGAAGGTGGACATCTGGGCCTCAAACTACTAACTACTAACACTTAACCTTGGACCTCTAGACTCCAGAATTGTAAAAATACTGTGTTCGGTACATCATCCCTAGCAAACTAATATAATGTTAATGTGGCAGCATTAAAAGCAAAGATTTGTTTTTTTCATTTTCTAATTTTTTAAAAATATCTTGAATAATCTATGCCAACTCTCATTCACTCACCTTTCTCTATGGTTGTCTCTTTTATTTATGGCCTGGCAAAGGAAAAGTAAAGATAGACTATTTTCAGCTTCATGATGCTGAACGCAAGCATGATTTTATTTCATAACAGTCCATTCCAAAGAACTAGATAACCATAACCGCAGAAAGCCCTCTGCCCAAGGTATCTGAGCACACAGATTATAGAGTTAAGCTTACTTTCTGCTTGTTGCTAATGCCACAGTGCCAAGTCACACATGGTGACACATGCCTATAATCTCAGCTATTGGTGGAGGCAGAAGAACTACCAGGAGTTTGAGCCCAGCCTGGGATACATAATGAATTCAAGCCCAGCTGAAACTATATGGTAATACCCTGTCTCAGAAAAACAAAGAACACTAGAATATTCACATAGTCTTCAGACTCCAACTCTGACTTCTACTAACCTGTTAGTCTTGTTCTGTGTTTCTGGTTCTTACCTATCTTCAGAATGTTGCTGAGCTGCCCCCAAGGGGCAAGGGCAAGAAGCTTCCTCCTGAATCTGCCCAGTTTCCTAACAGTGACCTGTGCTTGCTTGTTCTCAGGCTTGTATCTTATTAATGGTACCTTCAATCCTGTCCCAGGAACTTGCAAAGTAAGCCACATTCCTACCCTTCATTCCAGCTCACATGCTCAGAAATTATTGATCAGAGTCCTTTCCTGAAATCCTGAAGTGTATTCTCTCTTTCCTTCAGTTAGAATGTCAGAATCTCCAAGTGTCTTAGCTAACTATTGATCTAAATTTTGTTTTCTTTAAGATAGGGTCTTGTTATCTGTTATCTTGCCCAGGCTGGTCTTAAACTCGTATGGTCAAGCAGTTCTCCTGCTGCCTTTTATCCTTCTGTGTAGTTGGGACTACAGGTACCTACCATTGTTTTGTTTTGTTTTGTTTTGTTTTGTTTTGTTTTTTTCATACTGGGGCATTTGCACTAAATTACACCTCCAGACTTTATTTTTATTTTGAGACAGGGTCTCACTAAATTGTGCAGGCTGGGCTTCAACTTGTGATTCTCTTGCCTGAGCCTCCCACCTGCTAAGATTACAGGCATGCACCACCATATCAAGCTTGAGTCTACTGCTGAGAAGACCGACTTTCTTCTTACCTGTTTTTCTCCTCTATATTCCTGAAGGACAGGGCAAAGGGATTCACAAAGTTCTGAGTTAGAATCTAATCTCAGGGATGAGTTTCAGCAGGGAAACTCCAGCCTTGGGAGCAGCCTAGCAAGAGAACATCAGAGCACAGCTATAAATCAGAGGACAGATGTTCAAACATTCAGTTATCTGAACACAGCAGGAATCTGTTTGCCAGGCTTGGAATATGACAGTAGATAGGAGAACTGGCAAAAAGCCTTAACTTGTTGGTCACCTGAGCAACCAATCAAGACTAGTATTTCTTATTTACCTGGTCTTAGCACATACCAATAAATGGCAACTCAATAAACATTTTCTGCATGAAAGAATAAGGTAACTAGAGGAAAAAAATCTACAGAGTAATGATAGACTTGGTGTCACTACTTGACATTAGAGAGTAAGCAAATACAATGGCAGCATGTAGAGGGGCAAAGCAGAAAAGGTCGTCATAAGGTGCCTCAACTGCCACTGAAAGCATTTCAGGACTGCCTGTGTTACCTATGTCTCTCAGGTACAAACCAGCAAACTGAGTCTTCTCCAGGTCAACCCTATCTGACTGTTCTAAACCTCTCAGTCCTCTGGCAACTCTCTGGAAGAAAAGAGAAAAATAGAAATGAGGGAGTTCAGTTTTCAACACCCATCTCCCTCTTAAGTCTCTATTAATCCAGTTGTATACTCAGAAATTCCTATATTCCTAAGAGCCTCAAGAATTTGTCCTTAGGAATGATAAAGGTTTCTGTCAATTTTTTTAAAATAGAACAATGTAGTAAGCAGACATGTATTATAGAACTAGATATGTAGTAACAATGTTCCCTAGCATAACAAAGTCCTAAAATTCTAGATGATATCAGGCATATGGAACACACTTGTAATTCCACCACTCTGGAAGTTGAAGCAGGAGGATCACTGAGTTCAAGGCCAGCCTGAACTACAGAGTAAGACCCT